TTAGGTCAACCTTCCTAATTCTAGAATGATGCTGGTTGGGAACTCGACTCCCAACCTGTGCTATTTTATAGCTGAGGGGTCCTTGGTACTCTCTGAGTTTAGTTGTTTTCTTGCAGACATTTCATTACCCACACAAGGGTAACCCAAACGCCCTCAGTGCTACTGTAACAGCATTGCCAAAAAGGCTTTAAGAGTTGTTAACCTTATTTTGCTTCTTCTCTGGCAACATTGCATTGTTAACTAGGGCATACAAAACCTTTGCCAGACCAATTCTTGAATACAGCTTGTCCACCTGGAACCCGCACTGTATATCAGACATTAAGACAACTGAATGAGTTCAGAGGTATTTCCCAAGAAAAGTACTCCACTCCTCCACTCACGATAGAATTCCCTATGACTCCAGGCTCGAAATTTTGATCTGGAACTGCGCCGCCTGCAGTCCAATCTAAGCATAACACACAAAATCGTCTGCTATAACATCTTGCCTATCAAGGACTTCTTCAGCTTGAATCATAATCATAAACAGGCAAACAACCAATGCAAACTCAAGGTAAACTGCTCCAAACTCGATTGCAGAAAACAACTTCAGCAACAGAGTGGTCAATGCCTATGACTTCAGCAACAGAGTGGTCAATGCTTGGAACACCCTACCAGACTCCATTGTTACAACCTCAACCCCTCACAGCTTCAACCTCAAACTGTCTACCATGGACCTCACCTCATTCTTAAAGGAGGCGTGAATAAGTGCACCAGCGTGCCTACTGTCCCTGTCTATTTACTTCCTTTTATTCCTGCTTGTGTTCATACTTATTCTTGTTATCTTGTACATGTTTGACAAACAAACAAACAGATAAATAAATAAACTAGGTAATAGCAGCAGACTAGCACTGATGATGTCACCTAGTTTGGATAATGAAATGTCTGTGAGAAAACAAACAAGCTGAGAGAATACCAAGGACGCTTTGCTATTTGTAAAAAAAAAATATCAGGGTATCTGAGAAAAACACACATGATTTTCAACCCATAATTATCACTGGCTTGCTCTGAGCCTTCTGGCTCCCTTAAGAAATGTTTTGTTGGCACGTTCTGCTCTTCACCGTGACACATTTTGCCAAGTGCCACCTGTCCTTTGTGGGCTCTAGGACTACTTGGCATGGCTAACTCGCCACAGGACAACACGTCAGGACAAGAGTTATAATACTAATATCAATGAAATGGTGGAATAAAATAATTAAAGAATGCAAAAGGAGGGACACAATAAAATGTTAGTTAATCCTGAAGGACTGGGGAACTATATTGTACATGTTTGACAAGCAAACTAACTAACAAGTATCATCAGACTAGCCTGATGATTTCGTTTCAACCCAGAGCTACAAATATTCCCCTTGATTGGTACTTGATAGTTCTTCGAATTGTGAGACTTCAGAAAATGGCCAGCAGTATTCAAAATAAATAGGTTGACGGTGTCAGGGTTCCAGTATGACTCCGGTTTAATCAGTAACTGTCAGCCTTCAAGATTTTCTCCCTTTGCTTTGCATCTTTCGGCTGTCATAAGTAACGGGGGAAGGAAGGGGAAAAATTATGGGAAGTGAGCTGGAGGTGTTACAAACTGAATTGTATAAACTGGGGGCGGGGGATACATTCTTGCTCAGGTTTCTATTCCTTGCTTTCTCTTCTATGCTATGCGCAGCTGCAAACCTTTACCAAAATATGCCAAGGTCAATGGACAGAAGCCTTAACACTACCTGGAGATGTCCACATGATGATATTCACGACTTTTAATTGGAAGAACCATTTGAACTATTGGGGGTGGGAACATTGCCATACTTTGTATATGTGATTACGCGCCCATTTTCTCAGATTCAGAATTCTTTTGTTGCTACCACTTGACTTCCAGTAAAAGTTATCTTTTCTCTAATAAAAAGAGTCTTAAGTATTTCTTTCTTGGATTTTGAATGGAGCACCAGCTGACAGTAACTCCGAGACAAACATAATCTCTTAAGTACTTCATTAAAAACAGAAACTGGCATCATCTGAGTAATTTCAGAACTGAAATCATTCCCAGACTTCCCACAAAATTTAACCTACCCCCACCCACTTTTCTATACCTCATTAATCATGTGAACCAATTACTCTGCGGCTGCAATTACTGCTGCGACACACTCAGTAATCTTGACTTTCAAACTAAACTTTTTTTTCCTCTAAGAACTATTTAATAACAGCACCACCACCCCTTCAACTCTGTGGCAGCGATGAATTCCAGAGGTGACAGTCAGTTTGAACTCTTCCTGATGGCCAGAACTATACTAACATTTTTTCAGCTACCCACACCTGATTCTTGAGGAGCACCAAGTGATTCACAGTAAGTCCTGCTTGGAGCTCTCCTTTGCTCTGGTTTTATCTGCCATCGGCTTCCTGACAGGAAGAGGAGAAAAAAAAACAGTGTGTCAGCCTCAAGATCTCTTCGGGTACCCTAACTGCTATCTATCTTATTTATTTCTCCCATATCTTCTCTACTGCTAGGCTTACTTCTTTCGGCTGTCATTAGCAACGGGGGAGGGGTAATTGTGGGGGGGGGAAGAGAGCTGGAGGTGTTTTGCATTCTTTTACTGTGGGCAGAAAAAGGAGGGGGTGTGTGATTTCTTCTTTTCAAATTTCCATTTCCTTGCTAGCTTCTATCCCTTTTTGCCCAGCTGCGAAGTCTTATCAAAATATGTCAAGGTCAACGGACAGAGGCCTCATCACCACCTGAAGATGCCCACATGACCATATTCAGAACTTTTAATTGGAAGAGACTTCTGGATTTCGAGGGGTGGGAACAATTCCATTTCTTTGTATGTGTGGTCTGCGTGCCAAATTCTCAGTTTCGGAATTCCATTTGTAGCTTCCTTTTCATTCTCCAGTAAAAGAATAACTTTGCTCTGATCCATGGAGTCTGGGTATTTCTTTCTTGGATTTTGAAAGGAGCACACACTGACATTATTCCGATGATGTTAAAACATCAAATACTCCTTGCAGCAAGTAGACTAATCAATTCCCAGAGGTTGTTCAGTCAGTGGATCTCTTTTACCTAGACTTATAGGCTGCTTTAAGTACAGATGATTCTAAACTTCAATTCTGCTGGGGGGGAAAAAAGGATTATAAAAATGAGTAACAATGGCTGTCAACTCGCAAAAGCATCCCTGACCTGGTCTCGAACTGCCATAGGCAAGGGAGATGGGGAATCAAACCTAGCAGCTGCATCAAGGCGCTTGCATTTCAGTCAAAGCAAAGCATATTCCAGCCAGCAACATCAAGGTAATCTCCACGGAGATCCACAGTGACTTCTACCACCCGCAAAATGGCTTCATTGGGGAATGCTTTTTTTTTTGACTGAAATGCAAGTTCCTTGATGCAGCTTCCAGGTTCGATTCCCCATCTCCCTTGCCTATGGCAATTCGAGACCAGGTCAGGGATGCTTTACAAGTTGACATTGGCATGATGCAGTCCACTTAAATAATAACAAGACTCCCAGATTCATATTTGTTAGAGTTTGCAGCAGAAATTGAAATCCAGAAAGCACGCACAGATGACTGATTCAGCAGGATTCATTAACTTCTTTATATACACAATATCATTTGAAGCAAAGTTTACAATACCAATAGTGGATTCTTCCAACACGGTAAAGTTACAATCAAAACACAAGCAGAGCAGAGTAGTTTTAGAGTTGAGAGCACAGAGCTAAGCCACGCCCAGACTCCTCAACCCCCACAATTCAGCTCCCATTGGGTGACCTTGTTACCCATGTCTCTGCCAGTTCATGAATATTCTGACAATATTCTAATACAGAAAATTCTTAAAGTGGCTAGAAATATAAAACCAGAAATTTTTCTTTGGGGCTTAATGAAAAAAGATTTGGGGAAAAAAAATGTGGAACTCTCATCTTATATATGTTGATGGCAGCAAGAATACTGTACACACAAATATGGAAGGACATTTCGAGTCTACCATAGATGAATGCCTACAAAAATTGATGGAGTTAGCAGAGATGGCTTTGATCAAAGAAAAAGAATATTAAGTACCACCCAGGGTCATTTTCAGTGAGATGGGCCATTACATAAAATTGATAAATACATAAACAAATCAGTTTTCTTGCAGAGTGGGAGGGGGGTATTCTTTTTCTGCCCCTGATGAAAGAGATGTGAACCTAAAGACCTACACCCCCTACTTACCACTGGAGGACTTTCAAAATCCTGTATGCTGGCTGTAACAAAGAGATGAGAAAAAACAAGATTTGGAGGAAAATAGCATGCCCCTTTTCGTCAAACAATAAATCACATACATGAAACGCAAACTTCTGGGCATCTCTCATGTGTAGACTTTTTAAAAACATAAAGTTTTTCCTCTTTCTATCTGTCATCTCACGTCAATCCTCATATAGAATGGAGATCTCCAAATTGAGCCAACTTTTAAGACTTATGGACTTCAACACCCATGTTGGCTGGGGAATTCTCACTTAGTGACATAAAATGAGTCTCAATTATGGTTGTAAGTCAAGGACTAGCTATGTTTCTCATTGCATGAAGTGGTAAATCAGGCACAATTTCATTTGGGCTAATCGGGATCCACCACCCCAAAGGCAACTTATACCAAAATTATACTGTATTTCAAGTCACTCACCTGATGCTGTTCTGCATGCATTTCTGCCACATTTTCCTGCAAAACAGAATCAAGAAGTCAGAGACGATGGTCCCACCTAGAGTTCCCTCATTTTCCCCTCAACTTTTGGTAGAAATCCAGAGCTTCAGAGCTTCATCCTGCAGCACCAGAAACTTCCCAGAGCTGGACTGGGAAATTGGAAAACCCTCCTGGAGGAAGGGAATGTTCCCCAAATACAGGGATGTGAGTAGTGGTGGGATTCATTTTTTTTTAACTATCGGTTCTGTGGGCGTGGCTTGGTGAGCATGGCAGGGGAAAAATACTGCAAAATCTCCATTCTTGTTGTGGTTCGCCGTCAGCAGGTGTGGACAGCTGAGGTCTCAGAGAGTGAGGACTCAGATGAGGGGCCTGCGTGTGATGCAGGGATGAGGCCAGGACCATCAGGGAGTGGAATGCTGCCTTTGGAGATTGTGGAGCCTGGCAGCAGTGATGAAGAGGCCCCCGAGAAGCCTGTGCCCAGTGTGCATGCGCGCAGGGCTGCTCGAAGGAAAGAGCATCTGCAGCAGCACGGACGACCCGGGAGTAAGACTGTAAGGTAATGGCCCCTCCCTTAAGAGATAAAAGCCAGCTGAGAAACCGGAGTTCTTTGCAGGAAGCAAAGAAATTTTTTTCACTCAAGCCTTGTGGATGTTCGGAATATCTTGGTTGGTGTTTGGAGACTTTGTGTTTGAAATATTTCTTAGTAACTTTATCTAGTATTCTTGGCAGCCTTGCACAATCTTGGCAAGGCTCGTTCTTATCAGAGACAATTAGTTTGAAACAGCCTTTTAATCATGAAGGAACGGAATTCGTAAAGAATCATTAAAAGAGTTTTTTGCTACCTCTGTTTCGTGTTTTTTTCCTTGGAACAAGGTTTGGGTCAGAACAATTCTGTCCCCACTCCTGGGGGAAAGTTACTGAAAAATCCCATTCCCTTCCCATCCCACTAACCTCCTTTCCAGCTCCGTTCTCCTGAGCAGGGCAATCAAAGGAGACCCAGCCGATCAGCTGGGACTTGGGAGGCAGAGAATAGATAGGGGTGGGGCCAGTCAGAGGTGGTATTTGCCGATTCTCCGAACTACTCAAAATTTCCGCTACCGGTTCTCCAGAACTGGTCAGAACCTGCTGAATACCACCTCAGGGTGTGAGAATGTCATTAGCAAACCTTGGCCGATTTAAAGAACCTTGGCTTAATGTTGAGTAATTCTTGGACTTCTGAATTCACTTACAGCCTGTGGACTTCTTGGTGGGGTCTCTTACCCCAACACTAAACAAGCCCAGTTCGTCTTTGTTTCTTGAAGTCTGCAAAGATTAGCTTGGTGGTGCTAGCGTTGAGAAACACTGGGGTTGGTTTGCTTTTGCCATGTGGGCTAAACTTGTTCATTTTGGTGTACCTACTCTAAAGTTGTAACACCAAAATGAACAATTGTAGCCAATATGCTCAAAAGCAAACCAACCTCAGTAGTATGGCTTGGAGTAGTGTTTCTCAACCTGTCTTCTGATCCAAACCTTGTTCCAAGGAAGCAAACACAAAACAGAGGTAAGAGCAAAACCTTTTAATAATTCTTTACAAATTCCATTCCTTCACGGTTAAAAGGCTGTTTCAAACTAATTGTCTCTGATAAGAACGAGCCTTGCCAAAGTTGTGCAAGGCTGCCAAGAACACTCAATAAAGTTGCCAAGAAATATTTCAAACATAAAGAGTCTCCAAGCACCAACCAAGATATTTGAACGTCCACAAGGCTTGAATGCAAAAACTTCTTTGCTTCCTGCAAAGAACTCCGGTTTCTCAGCTGGCTTTTATCTCATAAGGGAGGGACCAATTACCTTGCAGCCTTACTCCCGAGTCGCCCGTGCTGCTGCAGCTGTTCTTTCCTTCGAGCAGCCCTGCATGTACCCGCACTGGGCACAGGCTCCTCGGGGATTTCTTCATCACTGCTGCCAGGCTCCACAATCTCCAAAGGCAGCATTCCACTCCCTGATGGTCCTGGCCCCATTCCCTGCCTCACACACAGGCTCTTCATTTGAGTCCTCGTTCTCTGAGACCTCAGCCATCCGCACCTGCTGCTGGCGAACCACAACAACCTGTCTGGAGAATTCTGGGCGTTGAAGTTCACATACCTTCAAGTTGACACAGTTTGGGAAACACTACCTTAGGATATTATGTAGACCATGTCTCCAGGATCTTCAGGATGTTTGGAGGCCATGTTCAGATCCGGAAGCTTGTGGGAAATATCAAGTTTGAGGGGATGTGGAGCAGGGGTGGGCTTCAAAACTTTCAGCAAATGGTTCTCTGCCCAGTTGCTGGCTGGGTGGATGTGGCCATGGTGGGCGTGGCCTAATCGGCATCCTCCACCACGGCAGAGGAAGGGACATTTTTGCCTTCCCTGGGCTCCAGAGGCTTTCTTCGAGCCTCTGGGACGGCAAAAATGGCCTCCCCCAAGCTGTGGAAACCCTCTGGAGGTGGGAAACGGGCCCATTTCTGGCCTTCTGAAGCTTCTGAGAGGCCTGTTTTTCACCCTCCATGGGCTCTGGAGGCTTTCCTTGAGCCTCCAGGAGGGCGAAAACAGCCTCCTCTGGGCTCCAGAGGCCCTGTGGAGGCTGTAAACAG